ATCAAAGTGAAAGATATAACCGAACACAACAATAATTTAAGGGAAAATTAAATTTTCCCCAAAAGGAAAATCTCAGTTTCAGTGACCAGTGTTTGGCCCCACTGTGGGTATTTTAAAATCCCTAAGTAGTTCTTACGTGCAGTGAGGGCAAAGAACCCCTAAGGAACCCCTATTAGAGAGTGACGGTGTTCCAGTGTGCCCGAGGTGACGTATAAGGGAAAAAGCCACCTCTTCAAAGGGCGCCAGCCCATGCACCAGGGCAGATGGCCCCGAGTGATGAGGTGGGTAGCCCTGAGGATGAGGTCGATGGCGCCAAGTGATGAGCTCTGGAGTGTGAAGATGGAAAGGGAGGAAGCCTTAAAGGAGACGGGTCTATTTTTATCCAGTCAGAAGGCATTATCTTTCTTAATTTTACAAGTCAAAAATACATGAATTATAGTCTTTAAGAGACTAATAAGGAAAATTATTAAGAAATTAATGAATGTTCCTAATGACAAAATTCCAGGATTAATTATTTGTAAAATGTAACCAAAGTGAACACACCTAATTGCTATAGGGAGACGCAAGTCACTAAAAAATAACCTGCAATGTGACTGCATATTGTAAACTGAAAAAACATGCAACACCAATCAGCAACTTAAGGATAATATGTGGTTCGAGAATAAAGAAAACAGAAAATTCAGGTTACCTCTAAAATTGTAAGAGGTGAAATTAGAAACAGCAACACAGGGTCTCCCATGGCAATAATTCTCCCTAAACTGAAGGTTGGGTACAATGGTATCTGCTACACTTCATCTGTATATCTATTTTCTGCACACACTATTTTATAACTTCTCAGTACTTAATAAAAGACTGCAATTTTAAAACAAGCAAATAAGACTATATATAATGCATGTTAAAGACATACACATTCTTTTAATTCTAGGTTCAGTCTTTGCCACTGAAAATCTGCTTGGCTCTCTCATGTCTTTTTAAGAAGTCAGAAGTTAGCAAAATCCTTAATTTTCACCTCTGCTTCCAAAGTTCATTAACATGGACAGCCTCATCTGGGCAGGGAAAGGGCCCAGGCAAGGGCAGTGCCCAGGGGTCAGACTCCCTGAGAACCACCAGGCAGTCACTGCAGGAGCCCCAGCAAGGAGGGCGCCGGAAAACTCAAGCGCTAAAACGTCTGCATGAGACAACTGGAACATTCCAGAGTGAACGATGGGATGTGAGGAGTAAGATATCTTCCCGTTCATATTTTTAGCTGATCAAAATTCAAAGAAACCCTAGTGAAAGTTCAGCTCTCAACTCTTTGGAGACGCCAAGATTGGAGTGCCGCTGAGTGCTTCAGTCTCAGGAACTCTGCAGACGTGGGCACTCGAGTTCAAGGTCAGTGTCGCACGTATTCCTCCCCACCAGACCCGGCGAACAGTCCCAGAGAACCAGGGTAGGCTCTGGCCACAACATATCATCTGAACATTCCTTTCATTAGCACAGCACAAGATTACACAATGACCCTTAAGTTGAAACAGGATTCTGGATGCCTGAAGAAGTGGGATAATCTTTGGGTATGGTGAGCCGAGTGCTGAGACAATCAATAAATGAACTGGCATCATGCATGCTGACTTCTTTGGAAGGAATTTTATAAACACGGGATATAAGACTTCTTATACAATAAACAATGCAATAACTAGTACTAATAAAAGAGAACTAAAGATGCTCTCATGTTATTAATCAATCAATAAATCTATGAATGAATTCTGTACAAGACTTTACTAATTAATGAAAGGAAAATTTAAAAGATATCTGTGTCAGAAGCAAGCAGCAGCTGAAGAAGCAAGATACATTTAAAGTTGTGAGAAAGACATTAAAGTCACTTCACAATCCCAACTTCCCTGGTCACCTGCCTCCCATGCTCACCACCAGCTCAGGTGAGCAATAACCCCGCTCTTCCCAATCCCATGCAGCGCTGCTCAGAGGCCTCACCCTCCATAGAATAACCGCAAATCTGACCTGTACCTAAAGGTTCACTCCTCTCAAATGCTTTCTGCATCTTTGGAATGTTTTATAGCCTTCACATGCCCTTATTATTCTCTCTAGTTTAGTTCTAGACTTGTCTTAGCTCTTCTACTGAAGCAGGAGTAATGGAAAGAAGCTATGAAGGGCCTAACTTAAATCTGAACATGAACTGTCTGCACTGAGCAAACCAAACTTCCCACCTGTCTTAAGCCTGCTTCTGACACACAAAAAGGGCAGCTACTACCTAACCTGCACTGCTTCTTTGAAAAATAAAGAGTGTATATGAGATAAAGAAGGACTTGAAAAACAAGTCCCCAGACAATGTAGGCAAATATGGGAGCAACAGGAAAAGACGTGAGGGCGGTAGTAAAACTGCATCCAGAAGTCAGAAAGGTTAAGAGACGCGAGAGACATAAAAAGGCCACAACTCAAACTTCTACAGGTAAACAGCATGATGTGTGAGACGGAAAATACACTGTTGTGTTAACAGCAGAGTATACACTGCTGAAGAAACTAATAATAAACCTGAAGATACAGAAATAGGAACTATCTAAAATAAACAACAGAAAAAGAGACAGGGAAAAGTAAACAGAATAACTGTGATCTGTGGGACAACTTCAAGTAACCTAATGTATTTATAATTGAAATTTACAAAAGGGAGTAAGGATTGGGCCCTCCCTGGTGGCACAGCGGGTTAAAGCACAGCACTAAGAAGTTAAAGCCACTTCCATGTGAGTTCCATCCCCGCCTGCCCCAGAGGGGATACGCAGGGGCCACAGACCTCTCCTGACCAGCCCACTGCTCCCCTTAGCAGCTTCACAATCTGCCTGTTCTGCTCCCTACTGTCTCTCGTGAATCCTCTCATCACCCCTGCACCTCTGGTTCATACCCCAGTTCTGTACAAATAAATAAATAAATCTTTTTTTTTTTTTTTGGTGCAGTAGCTGCAGACAACTTCACAGTGCGGCATCTTTTTTTTTTTTTTTAAAGATTTATTTATTTGTGCAGACAGAACTGGGGTACAGGCCGAGGCCCAGGGGCGGTGAGAGGCTTCACCAGAGACAGAGTGGGGAACAGAACAGGCAGATGGATGAAGTACACTGCTGAGGGGAGCAGTGGGCGGGTCAGGAGAGGTCTGCCACACCATGTGGTCACCTCCGGGACAGGCGGGAATCGAACTCATGTGGAAGCGGCTTTAGATTCTCAGTGCTGTGCTTCAACCCGCTGCGCCACCAGGGAGGGCCCAATAAATCTTTATTTTAAAAAAAGAGAGAGGGTGGGTAAGGATAAAGGGGTGGAAAAAGAAAAAATATCAGAAGAAACAAGAGTGAAAAATTTTCCAAGCTTGTAAAAAATATAAAACCACAGGGCCCTCCCTGGTGGCGCAGCGGGTTAAAGCACTGCACTGAGAATCTAAAGCCGCTTCCGCATGAGTTCGATTCCCGCCTGCCCCGGAGGTGACCACATGGTGTGGCAGACCTCTCCTGACCCACCCGCTGCTCCCCTCAGCAGTGTACTTCGTTGATCTGCCTGTTCTGCTCCTCACTCTGTCTCTGGTGAAGCCTCTCACCGCCCCTGAGCCTCTGGCCTGTACCCCAGTTCTGTATGCACAAATAAATAAATCTTTAAAAAATATATATATATAAAACCACAAACCCAAGGAGTTTAATAATACAAATCATAAGAAACATACAATTATACTAACATACATTGTAATCAATTTTATTAAAGCCACTCTGAAGAGAAAATCTTAAGTGTCACCAGAGAAAAAATATATATATTTAGTACAGAGAAAAGCTTAGGATGTCAGCAGAGTTCTTGTCAGAAACAAGCAAGGTAGAAGACAGTGAATCAAAATTCTTAAAACATTAATAGTAAAAAAAAAAAAGCCTACTATTCTAGACTACTTTATCCAGCAAGAATATCTTTCAAAACTAAAGACCAAACACTAACTTCTTCACACATGTGAGGCCTAAAATAATCATTCCCAGCAAATCTGCGTTACCAGAAATATTAAAGTAAGTTCTTAAAGCAGAATGAAATAATAGCAGATACAAATCTAGACCTACACGAGGAACTGAAGAGCACTAGAAAAGGAAACCACGTAGGTAAATATAAAGACTGTATTCTTGTCATTTAAGTCCTTTAAATATAACTGGTTACTTGTAAATAATAATTAAAATGTATACTAGGATTGATAACATATGTAGAGAGATAACATATTATGAGAGCTCAAAGACCAGGAGAAGAGATGAAAAGATATGCAGAAAAGCTGTTATACTATGATAGGTAGTTTAAAATTGTTTGCAAGTAGACTGTACAATGTTTAATATGTACAAACACTAAAACAACCATTAACTAGTTTCAGCTAATATGCCAACAAAGAATATAAATAATTTGAGAAAAAACAAATTAACACAAAATTAATCCAAAACAAAGAAAAAGGAAACAGAACAAATTGGAAACATATCAAACAAATAGCATAGTGATTCTAACCTAAACATATAAATAATCACGTTAAATATAAATAGTCTAAATTAACCAAACAAAAGATGGTCAGACTAGTTTTAAAAAGTAGCATCAAGCATACACTGCCTGCAGATACATACTTCAAATACAAAGAAATAAATAAGTTAAAAGTAAATAGATTAAGAAGATATGTCATACTAACATTAATGATTGTTGGAATCACTACATACATTAATGTCAGAGAATGCAAATTTCAGAACAAAGGATATTATCACAGTTAAAGATAACTATTTCAAAACAATAAAAGATTGATTCATCAAGAGCAAACAACAATTCAACTGAAGGGTGTCAAAAAATACAATCTTCCAGTTATAAAATAAGTAAGTCACGGGGATTTAATGTACAGAATGGGGATTACAGCTAATAACAATGCACTGCATATTTGAAAGCTGCTGGCAGAATAAATCTTAAAAGTTAATGTAGGAAAATAATTATAATAATGTATAGTGATAGTTGTTCACTAGACTTACCAGTATGATCATTTCTCAACATATACAAATATCGAATCATTATGTTGCATACCTGAAATATAATGTAATATGTCAGTTATACCTCAATTTAAAAATTATAATAAAGAAAACCTATCTCAAGCTCAAAGTATTTACTTACAAGTAAAATACTTCTAAACAACATGTCCACACTATGCTTATGTCTAATAACAATTTCAAACTATAAGATGCAAAATTTGTTGATAAATCAACAAATCTACAATTATAGACAGAACTTTCACTATACCTCTCCCAATGATTAAAATAAGCAAATAAAAAATTCATAGATACATAAGACTATTAATCAACCAGATTGAAATGACATTTACAAAACTCTCCAACCAAAACAATATAATAAACATTTTTTGCAAATACACAAATACTGACCAAAATACAATCTACTTAAATTAAAATCAGTAAAACAATGATAACTGGAAAACTCTTAATATTAAAAAATAACACTTCTAAATAACATGTCAAGAAATCAAAAGGGAAATTTAAACAGTTTTCAACTGAATGAAAATACAACACACCAAACTTTATGGTGTGCAGCTAGAGCAGACTTAGAAAGACAAGGCACTAAACACCTATATTTAAAAAAGAGGAAGGGTGGTCAAATCAATGACTTAAACTTCTAATTCTCAATGTCTGAAATTAAAAACTTATACCAAGTGTTAACAGGATGTAAAGAAATGAGACCTCTCATACACTGTTGGTGGGAATGGGAAATACTTGCAGGGGGTCTCCCTAATGGTCTAAGGGCCGTCTCAGCACTAATACCACAAAGCCTGCATGCAACCCCCAGCCAGGTAGCTAACACATGTATGGCACAGCAGACCTATCCTGTCTCACCTGCTGCTCCCCTCAGCAGTATATATAAAATCCACCTGTTCTGCCCCCCAACTCTGACTCTGGTGAATCCTGTCAATTCCCACACACACAACCCTCTGGCCTGCACCCAGTTCTCCTGTGCAAAAATAAATAAAAATAACAAAATGAAATTAAGCAGATAACTATTCTACTCTATATGCACTCTACTACTATATAGCCACACAGACGTGTACAAAATTTTATAGCATCTATATTTGTTAACAAAAACTTGAAACCTGCTTCAAGGTGACCATATTAACAAACTATGCTATACTCATATACAGCAATATAATCCAGCATTAAAAAGTAATCAATTATATATTAAACAACAATGATGATCTGAAAATCACAGTATTGAGAAAAAATCATAACTACGTATTGTAAAGTTACATTTATATAAAATTCTAGGAGCTCCTAGGAGATAAAAAATTAAGGTATAGTGTGAGAAAAATCAGTGGTTATTTGGATTTAGTTTAAGAATCCAGGGATGAGAAAGTTTTGACAGCGACAGATATGTCCACTATCTTGACTGTGATGATAGTTACAGCAGTACATACATCATCAAAGTACTTTCAAGTTATAACACTTTAACAAATTATACTCTCTAAATATGTGCAGTTTATAGTTTGCCATTTATACCTGTCAGACAACAATTAATAATCCTTCATACTATAAATTGGGTCCTAATGTATTTCCCCAAGTACTTTTAATCATAAAATTCATTGGATATCCTTACTTCTAAACTATTGAAGAAAGTGAGATTTGAACTGGAAAATCCAGTAAGCATATAGAAAACAAATGTCATATTTAGGCAAGAGAGCTCTGAACTCCAACTTTTTTCACTTAAAAAATATAACTAGGCCCTCCCTGGTGGCGTAGCGGGTTAAAGCACAGCACTGGGAAGCTTAAACCACTTCTACTTGAGTTCGATTCCCACCTGCCCCGGAGGTGACCACATGGCGCGGCAGACCTCTCCTGACCCGCCC